TTTTTATTTGTGGAGCAGCGAACTCAGTTTTTGCTTTTGGCAGAGAAACGTCTACACCGCAGCAAAGGTGGTTAAGTTGGATTTGGATGGATATGAATTCGACAATGACAGCAACATACTGCGCACGCCAGATCACTCATCAACTCCATGTGCTTCTCAGAAGAAGACAGGTGTAATGTAAGTCTCGATGTAATTTGACAAGGGATACGTGGAGTACCTTTTCGTATCCATATAGGGTCTGCCGTAGTGCAGATGTAGATTTTTCCCTCGAGAGCGCATACAGACTCGGGGTTCCAATCGCTTGGACAGCGCGATAGGATCACACGAGCTTATAGATCGCTCCAACGGTCGAGCGTTTGGATCTTGAAGTCTGAATGCGCTCTGAGCATAAGAGGAAAACAATACTCGCTGAACAGGTTTCGTTGAGCAACGAGAGGTTTTGCAGAACGGTAATCCCAGTTTTGGACTAGAACTCTTTAAATCAGGGCACATCATTGGTTGGGGATTTGGTCGAATTCCGTACAACCCCCCCCCCTAAGAGGTGGCTTGATACGACCCTTCCTCCTGGTTCCCTCCTCTGAAGCATGATCAAGCTGGTATAGCACGTGTAAAAAGGGAGAAACTGCGAGGAAAATAGAAAATACGACTTCCCCACCCCCCCCCCCTCGAAAAGTCAACAACCCTCCCTGAGACAAAAAAGCAAATACATCCCCTCATGCGTCCAGAATAAAACATCAAAAAAGTTTCTTCTCAGACCAAAAACTACCCCTCCCCCTCACCCTGCGATCAAACACGGCTCCCCTGTTGGAGAATCACCAACGATAATTTTTGAAGCTGTTTTGTTATGGCACGACTTTTGGCCACAACTCAGCATTCTTGTGATACCAGCGATAATGTTCCCCGCTTTAAATGCCTCCATAGCCATTTGCTCTGGGTTTTCCTTTCCGACTTCACTTTTTTTTTCAGTTGTAGCCTGTGGTTCATATTATTGCGCACTTCGAATCAATGAGCTCGGTGAACGTCGTCTAGTAATCTCCACGTTGACCCTTGGAATAACCTCGGCACGATGTCGAATGTTTTAAACCAAATCGAGTTTTTAGCGTGATAATCTTTTTCATTGTCCCTATACGTTTGCCAATCTTCTCGTCTTCCTTTTTCAGCAGCTGGAGGTTTCCACCGTGCGAATGCCTAGTTTTCGCCTTGTGCTTAGAAAGGACTTACTAATATTAAGGATCCTCACTTGTCATCAAGATGCGATTTGCTCAGTACGGAGCCAAATGACTCATCATGAAGTTGTTTAGCTAAAATTAGGGCTGCGATCTTATATAGGCCAGCACACCCATAGCTTGATGACTGAAAAGTTATTCCAAGGTGTGGGGCGCTTGCCGCTAAGGGTCATCTTGTGACGCCTACATGGAGTTTAGTTGCCCTGGAACGAAGCCGCTCCGTTCTTGTCATTTGCCCCTCCACTGTTCGAATGCTCTGGAAAAGAAGCCGTAATGATTATTCCAGAGGGGATCAATATAACATAGAGGACAGGAAGCTCCACACAAGTACAGCTTCAATATGTAGACTTGCATGTACATACTGCTCTAGCGAAGAAGTTAGTCTCGCTCAGACGGAATCAGAATCCATTTATAGGTGTTCTGGCGTAAACAGTCAGCAGTTCATGCACCCCTTTGAAGAATCGAACCTCGTTAAACGTGCTTTTTTCTGTATGCATTATGTGTACCGAGGGACCTGAGCCTCTGTGATGCATGTGGCTCGAACCAGGATGTACAGACAAGAATGCGTTTTCGAGGTAGAGCTCGTCGACTATGGTGTGAGTCCGCGATACGTGTTTGCACCTAACTTACGGGCTAATCCCGTTCGGACTCCAGAAATTTCTGCTCCGAGCTCATTTTCAAATGCCCTTATGCCATCACTAAAAATTTGATATAGGTATTTCAACATCCGATTACGAGTATGCTTACGACTATCCTCTGGCTCATCTTAGCAGCGCAAAAAATTAATGTCATATTGCGTGATCAGGATTTGAGCTATCCCATATTAAGTACAAGTTTTTGCCGTGGATTGTGATCTTGCACTTTTAACATGAGCTCGAGCCGAACTTCTGGAGTCAAACGGCATTAGCCTAACTTACGCCAAACACTGTGAGTCATTTGCTCCCTACTGAACATTCGTTCTTATCACTAGTCCTACTGTTACATTTCTTCCTTACTAGTCCTACTAACACATAACGTGAGGGCTCCGCACGGTAGAAGCTTCTGCATGTGATGGTCGAAACGTAGGACAATAAAAAGGTTCCATCTTACAAACTCGTTTGGTAGAAGTTGCTAAACAATGAGTGATGTCGTTCAAGGTAGCTGAGTAGTCAAATGACGACCGACTGTTTTGATATAAACTTTACAGTCACGCGGCAAAAGGGGCTGGCATTCGAAAAAAAAAAAGACTCTTCGTATAAAAGTGAGAGCAACTTTTTTGCAAAAATATCTGTTTGATTGCGCTATCCCAGTTTCCTTCGAGGAAACCTTCCAGTAAAACCGTCCCCTGTCCTTTGGGCGACTTGCCCTTGTTCGCCACAACTTCTTTGCAAGAGTTATATAATTAGATGAGCTCACGAAAGTGTTTTCTGTCGCCAGAACTCTCCTCATAGGACTTGATAAAACTGATGTCTCGAACGCATAATGGCTAATTACAGTGCTCAGTTGCGTGAAATAACAACTTTTCGTCCGTTAAAGAGACGATCTCTACAGAGTAACACACCAACCGCTGTGCGATTATCCAAACAAGTGGCACGGTCGAGAATCCGTGAGATTCAGTCTCCTAAGTTAGTCTCTGGGTTTACACTCGCTTACATGTCGTAGTTCTATCACATATATTGGTATGAGAGTGGATGTTTCAGAAAAGCTCTTCTCCATTTCATTCACGATAATAGCATAGAAGAAGATATGCTACCGGAAAGTAGTGCGTCGCAAAGGTCTCATTAGTTTATGCTTATAGAGAATGTATTCTTGTCTGTATAGTGGTCTCATTGGACACACTTCGCGTTCATCGTGTGTGTGGTCTAGTGTACCTTTGTCTCTTCCTCATCGGCCCCCTCTCCCTTTGGAAGGGTCACTAGTGAAGGAACACGGTAGGCTGGCGTTCAGCCTACACAATGAGGCTTGTTCTATGCTGAGAGAACGCTGCCTGCCCTTTATGTGCACTTTTGAAGCACGTTTTACGCACTGTTCCTCGTATCCATATAGTACAAAATTCAGTGCCAATTTTTCGATTGCTTTATACTGCCGCACTGACATACTTTGCCTCTTTTTGTTACTTTTTAAGGGAGATTTTACTTTTTCCAGTATCATTACAAAGTCGAGTTTCAGCATCAAAGGAAACACTAACATTCTATGTTATGCGATATCCTACCTTTCAATGAATGTATATGTGTATGCCTATTTCTTTTTATTTCTCTGTTTCTGTAGTTGATAAAAGCCCAGTATTCACTGTTCATACTTTGCGTACGGAGAATCCGCGAAATCGAAGAACGCGTGATTCAGGCGAGTGAGCAACCAAAAAAATGTGTCGTAGCATATAGTATGAGGTTAGTCCAAGTTGAAATCATAAGCGAGTTTACCAACTCTTAAAAGCCATAAACTACTAAAAAAAGCCGTAAACTCCGCATAGTTAGCACATAACATGCTGTTCGCTGCGAATGATTTATTCATTTGAATGTCCTACTGTTACAGCTCAAAACAAAATGCAGCAGATAGGGCGCGTCAATGCGGGGCGTTTGGCGCGCCGCCAGCCCGTCCTCCAGTAGTTTTTGAAGCGGTAAGCGGGGCTCGCACTGCCCCAAACCCTAGCCAGACATCTCCCATTATCCGCAACGAACAAGACTGTAACCCCGTTTTTCAACGAGAATTTACCATCACGAAGTCGCTGAATATCACAGGTTCACCACGTTGCGTACTACCTTCGATAGGAATATCAAATTTGCTTGTACTGGAACAGGTATAACGTGCTGTATAATGGGCTGAATTCTTAAGGAATACAAAACATGTCACGCACTGGTTTGGCCCAATGTCAGGCCTGGGTCGTTCTTTATTGTTCACCTCGATCCTCGAAGTGGAGCTGTTGGGCACTGCAGAACTTGGCAAGTGGCTGACATTATTCAGTTTCAAAACCCTCAACCCACAAAGACACGCAATACATGCAGGATATTCACAGCGTCAAACCATTACTTGAAGCGATCACAATGTTCCGGTGTATGACACACACACACTAGCGGCGGAGCTCGAACGGAGTGTGGTGTGGTTTCGTTCAGTGGAGGTGAAGGGGCTTGTCCAGGGTACTGTCCGTACCCCCCTGTTGGTTTTCTGGCATGTCTGACCGCTCTGGCGACCGCTCGTGGAGGCTAGGAAAGTCACATCTAGTGTGTATAGCTTGCCTGAAGCTGTTTGCTGCCTTCCTGGGAGTAAGTGCTGAGAATCCACTATAGGAAGACAGCAAGTACGCTCGTGAACGCGAAGTGTGATAATTTGGCAGTGGATGGCCCTAGCCAGGCTTGGTGCTCCGCGCCGATGTATAGGCATAGATGACTACCAAAGACGACTATGTATCTGTTGACAGCAAAGAAGTAAGCAATATAAAGTAACAATAAACATGTATACATGACAAAACAGAGTTAGGAAACACGACCAACTGAAAACTGTTGACCGAGTGGGGCAGCCAACTTATATTGAAGGAGCATGTGCCCCCTCAACGGAAAGTTGGCTGCCCCACTCAGTCAATAAAAGCGGTTTACTGAGCTCATCGATTCTGCCATCAGGCCTTCAAAGTATCTTCTTTCTGTTATGGCGTTACCGTGGCGTTCGTTGAGATTTGGTCGACGGTTGCGGCTTCTCGGTCCATCTTCTGGTAATCTTAGTTTCGTAGCCATTCTTTGTAAGTCGTTTCGCTCGTCTGAATGCGCGCCCATCCGACGCTCTCCTTGCTTGCTTCGTTGCTTTTAGAAGAGTCTTTCGACCTCGTCGTACCGCTGATTTGTATGCAGCTTCCGTATGTTATACGTCGACCATCACAGGGTCGTATAAACTCATGGGGCGTCTGGGCAATGCTTGGCTTCCGTGGTGGGTTGTTCCTTGGCCTCGGGTTTGTTAAAGATAAAGAACTTTGGCGCTGTCCGCACCACTTCCTCAGATCCTGCTTCCTGCCTGGGCACAAGAGTGACTTCTTCGACTGAGCCATCATTCTTTTAACGAGAATGTCTACCAAGAGTTCCAGTATGATTCATACTGAAAATCTCGAGTCTGAGCCTTTCGGGCACCACGAGTAGTGACTAACCGTCCTGGAGTACGAGCTTTGAGTGGTCTTAGCCAATCAAGATGTCCTTAAAACTGAGTTTGCGTCTGTTTCTTCTGATTTCATGTGGACACTTTTTTCGGCGGCTTCGATTATAGAGTTCTAGTCGCTGTCCTGTCGTACTTCGTCGGTCTGACTGAACAAACGACCTTCTTGTCTTCTTAGTGCGCGGATGGTCCGTCCTGCTTCGAGTTGATGGTTCTTCGAGACAATGCAGTGGCAGCTCGGCTCGCCTTACCTTTTACGTGCTTTGCCCTCCAACTGCTTTTGTCTCCGGCTCCGATTTGACCTCAATTCTTAACAGCTTCCATAGTGTTGGTTAAGAACTATGAGGGTATCACTTAATTGTTGGACATGCAGCCATACCCTTGCTCTCTTGGCTTCTTCAACCTCGATGTCCACGGATATCTTTGTGAAAAACTTCATGCGGTTCTCGGATTCATCGTAAACCCGGTTTCTTTTCGGCTTACTTGACATGTTTACCATTCGTCCTTTGTAAACTCCTTGCTTCTGAGCGAGTTTTAGGAGCCCTACAGGTATTACCGTATGACTTATGACTACAAAATTTAAATTTGAAAAACATGAAACTTTTTTCAGCAGACTTTACTAATATGTTTA